GGGCCGTGGAGGGGAGCGCAATGGGTGCTGGGGGGACCCGCTGCCCTGGGAGGGCATGGTGGGGATGGGAGCCTAGTGCCATCAGCCAAGCCACCGGCACCAGGCCCCTCCTTCCCAGGGGGATCCCACCTTCCTGCCCTTACTCTGAGACCCTCTCACCCCCAGGGCAAAGGCTGGTACCGTGCCCGGCACAACGAGACGGGGCAGGAGGGGCTGCTGGCAGCCAGCGCGCTGCGGGAGCGCGGCGCCATCCGCGTCGACCCCAAGCTCAGCCTCATGCCGTGAGTATGGATGGGGGGCGTGGAGGGCCAGCAGCCCAGCTGAGCCCCCAGGAGCTGCAACACCAGATGAGTCCAGCGTGTTTCCCCAGCCAGGGTTTGGGTGGGCAGCTGGGGGCAGAGAAGCCTATAGCTGTGCCCTGGCAACATGCCTGGCTTTAAAGACCCCCAGTTGTGCCCACCCAGCATGGATGGACTCATAGAGAGGGGTTTTATGCGATGGGGTCTACATAGCTTAGCTTTGGCAGGGACTCTGCTCTGGTCTCATGGCTGGTGGTGGGGAAGGCCACCCGCACAGCCTCTCTCCCCGATGCCCCTCTCCCCAGCTGGTTCCACGGGAAGATCTCGGGGGTGGAGGCGGTGCAGGAGCTGCAGCCCCCCGAGGACGGGCTGTTCCTGGTGCGCGAGTCTGTCCGGCACCCTGGTGACTACGTGCTGTGTGTGAGCTTCGGCAAGGAGGTGATCCACTACCGCGTGGTGCATGAGGAGAACACGCTCAGCATCGACAGCCAGCAGTACTTCTCCAACCTCATTGACATGATCGAGGTGAGACCCCCCTCGCCAGGCAGTGAGCCCCACCAGTGGTGGACAGAGGGCAAGAGACTCAGGGGGTCACACGGAGCAGTGGCAGGTCCCTGTCCCCTTCTCCTGTGCTTTTCACTGGGTTTCGTTACCTGGTGTAATTCTCCGTCCCTACGAAAGGCTCATGGTTCCCACCCAATTTGGGGTGCAGTGGGCAGATCTGGGGTGCACTGGGGATGTCTTGTGCCACAACCCAGCCGTGCTGGCAGCAGCCCTGGTCCCCTGCCCAGGGCCACATTTCCCCCCATCCTTGCTCATTCGGTGCTTCAGGCAGCCATGGGGCTCAGGGCATTTTGGAAAACAAAGATCCCGGCAGCCTAAACCCCGCAGACCCTGGATGAGGTTTGAGCCCCGCCGAGGCTCTGAGGTGTTTTGCTGCATTTCTCTCCCCTCCAAGCCCCCTGTCACCAGCCAGCCCTGTGGGGCTCCTGGGCCGCCACGTAGCTCTCGCCCTTCCGACGAGCTCTTCCTCAAGGTCCATCTTCCTCCTGTCCCACAGGTGCTGCCCATCTTCTCTCTGGGGTGGTTGCACTCTCATGTTTTCCTCATTTATACACAACTTCTGCTTTCGGGGGGGCCCTTTCCCCTTTCAGCTGTCCCAGCCCTGCTCTGTCACCGCGACGGCCGTCCCACCGCTTCCGCTCCCAGTTGCCTCTGCAAACCGCCCCTGGCTGCGGCAGCGCCTACCGGGGGGTTGAGCCCGGCCAGCTGCTGTCTGGCTCCGCAAACCCGGGGCCCATCGTGGCAGAGCAGGGCTGAGACATGGGCTGCGAGTCGCAGCACTGGGGGAAACGACACATTTCGCGGTCCCCAGGCTGAAGGGGCTCTGGGCCCTCGAGGGTTGTGATGGTGGTGGGGGCCTGTGGAGCATCCTGGCTCCGTGCCCCGAGCTCGGGCAAGAGGCAGCAGTCCCCATGGCCTCTGTCTGTCCACCCCTCGGCAGCACTACATGAAGGAGCAGGGAGCCATCTGCACCAAGCTGGTGAAGCCCAAACCCAAAACCGGGATGAAGTCAGCTGAGGAGGAGTTGGCCAAAGGTAGGAGATGGTGGGAGAGGGTCGTGGTCCGGGTTTTGGGGATGAGGCAGCACAGTCCCGCTGGTGGCCCCTGCTAACCTGCCCTTGTGCCCGTGCCCAGCCGGCTGGTTGCTGAACCTGCAGCACCTCACGCTGGGAGACCGCATCGGCCAAGGAGAGTTCGGAGGTAGGTGAGAAGATGGGGTTGGAGGTTCCCTGGCTGGGGGTTTCCCCAAATGGCTCCCCCTGAGCCCTGTGGCATGGGGGACTCAGCCTGGGATGCAGGGGGTCGGGTGTGGGGCTGAGCCTGACCCCCTGCATCCTCCCCCAGACGTCCTGCAGGGCGAGTACATGGGGCAGAAGGTGGCTGTGAAGAACATCAAGTGCGATGTGACTGCCCAGGCCTTCCTGACCGAAACGGCCGCCATGACGTGAGTGCCCCATGGGGCGATATGGCCCAACCCTGCCCCTGACCCGGCGCTGAGCAGGTACTCCTGTGACCTGCATCCCCTCCGTTTCAGGAAGGTCCGTCACAAAAACCTGGTGTGTTTGCTTGGCGTGATACTGCACAATGGCCTCTACATCGTCATGGAGTTCATGAGCAAGGTGAGAGCACCCGGCTGGTCTTTGGCCAGTGGCACCCACCGCTGCTCAGATTTGGGAACAAAATCTCTCTCTGGGGCCTGAGCTGGATGAATGCTGGGTGCTTCAGCCCCATGGGAGGCAAAGTCTCCGGGCAGCCCTGTCCCGCTGCTCCTCACGTGTCTCTGCTCCTGTCAGGGCAACCTGGTGAACTTCTTGCGCACACGGGGCCGGGCGCTTGTCCCGACCCAGCAGCTCCTCCTGTTTGCTCTGTAAGTCCATCTCCCTCCCCCTGGGCTGGGGGCCGGTGCTCTATGTCCCCCTGGGCAGGCCCAGGGGACGGGCAGTGACAGCGCGCTCTGCCTCGCTCTGCTGCGGCAGGGACGTGGCCCACTACCTGGAGTCCAAGAAGCTGGTGCACAGGGACCTGGCTGCCCGCAACATCCTCATCTCCGAGGACAACGTGGCCAAAGTGAGCGACTTCGGCTTGGCCCGGGTCAACCCCAAGGGCGCAGACACCACTCTGCTGCCCGTGAAGTGGACAGCCCCGGAGGCCCTGAAACACAACGTGAGCGATGGTGGGAAGGTGGAAGGGGGTGCGGAGGGTCCCCCCGAAGCTGCTCACTCACTTGGCTTCCCCCTGCTCGTCCCCCCTCCTGCCAACCTGCCCCACGGTGGC